TTAACTGCACCTCTGTGATGAACATTTTTATAGCGTGCATTAAACCCAATGTTCCCGATGTTTGATCGTAGGTGACCTCTGTCCAGACGGTGTACTGTGGAATGCCATGTCCAAAATAAATCTCCTCTTAGAAAATGAAATCATGGTGTGTTATTATGTAACTGTACTGGAAGGGGCAGAGAGACACACAAACATGCACCACCTGGCCTTCAGCGGAAACTTTGGACTTTTGCTCAGCTTACACACTCACCAAACGGCACTGGATCCAGTCCAGTACACACTGGAGGAAATGTAAGGACACTGATACAGTGTGTCTTCTTACCAGGAGTTAACCTGAGCCTAAATGGGCTTTAGTTCAAAACTAATACCAGAACTCCTCCTACAGTATCAAGCTACTTCATCCAAAGTGCAGTATACAGAAAAAAACCCAATTCAAATCAATATTTGTTGTGATCACCCAGCCAGTTCTCCTCAGTACATGAACGCACAGTTTTTCAAGGTTCTTGCCACATTTCTACTGTAGATTTAATCTTTCTCAGTGTTCAAGTCATCCCAGAATAATGAGTCCATGAGGTTGAGATCAAGGCTCTGTTGGAGCCATTCTATACCATATAAAAATCAAAACCAAAACTATTTGTGCATTGTCAGGGTTAAATAAACTATTAAATTAAACAACATACAAACTGCACACAGCAAAATGTTTTTAAACTTTTGATGAATTTTTGATTTATTTGTTACTGAATTACATCACATTTGTCATTACATGGCATCTGGCAGATGATTCCATGTTAAATCTCAGCTGTGAAAGAGGTTCAGTTCACTTCTTCCACCTCTTTGGTTTCCTCAGTCCCAGAGAGTGGTGGATTCTCTTCCAGACCGATTTCTCTTTTCCTGTCTTTGGGATGCTCTTTGCAGAGACCTCCGTCTTCTCCGTGGGCTCTTGATCATGGAGCGCATTGGGGAGGGACTCCTCGGTCTTGCACGGTTCATCCTCATGCTGCTCCTCAGGCTCATTTTCAGGTGTTTCACTTTTGGTGATTTTCACAGCACTGAGCTCAGTGGAGAGCTGCAGGTTGAGTGAGGTCTGAACCTTGAGATGATTCCTCAGCTCCTCCATCTCTCTCTGATAAAACATGTCCTTGTCATCAGCTTTTTTCTGCATGATGATCTTGCTCCTCCTTGTCTGTGTGATACTTCTTTCATTCTCAAGTTCACACTGAAGGCTTTTGACCTGCTGCTGGAGTGTGAGGACATCAGTTTCATACTTTTGGCTGACCTAATTCTTGTCCCTCTCCACATTGAGCTCACGTGTAAACTCTATACAGCACAGGTGCCACCTGCAGCTCCTCATGATCCTTCTGAAGGTCCTTTTTCTTCCTTCTCTTGATGCCATTGCTACCATTGATGCCATTAAAACCTGCTGTTAATCTCAAACAGGGGGTATTTTATAAAGCAGGCTGGGTGAGAGCATGGAGCTTGTTCACTCTAAGTTGAGGGAAAGGGAAAGTTTGCAGGTGGAAACAGAAACCACCTTCATGCCCCAACTGTCAGCCAGATTATATTTTTCACATGCAAAAGACAAACTCTTTCTTCTTGTGCATCACAGACAGTGTTACATTCACAGTAACTATAAAAAGAAATAAGCTTCAGGTCATTACAGGGTTGGTACATAATTGTAAAATATTGCTTCTACAATGGTCCAAACAAATGTCTGAGAATGCAAATTAAAGCTTTACATATTTATTACAAATAAAAAGATTGGTCATAAAAGCATGAAGAAAACACCACAAATGAACAAGCTATCCAGTATTGTTAAATATCAGTCACATTCATGTTACAGAAGTCAAGTGAAGCTTTTGCTTGGTAAATGTCTGATGTTCACACAAGCAGATGTGCAGTTGTGGTTGTTTTATGAAGGTTAATTTAAGTAGAGTTGAAATAAGAAGGGACTTAGACTATACTCACAGTTCGGGACTAAAAACCTAGAGAGTTGCACTTTACCAAATAGAACAGCAATATGTTTAATCTTCCCAAGCTAGAGATCGAATTAAATGTACTTAAAGGTGCCCTGTGTAGTTTTTGGCCACAACAGTGTTATTGGGCAAAGTTCTGGTGTGAGAGTTCCCAATATGTTGTTATGTCGTGGACACAAATAAGGACTAACATGCATGCACATGAGTGTGTAGTGATACAATACAGTTTCCTGCAGTGAGATTCAAATTAATGCACCAAGTAATGTACTGTTGCAATGTGCCCACAAACAACCGCTGCATATGCAAACATAAATATAAACAATTCAATTTTTGAAATTCTTTAATAGTTGAATTTGCAAATGTTTTATGAGGAAGGAAATTCATCCAACACATTTTTAGGACTCGGCAACATGCACAGTGGCCCTCATGCAAGACTCAATTGTATAGATTAATTTCTTCTTACACAAACAAGCAATTTAAGAAAATTTGTGTGATTCACAAATGTTGTTATACTCTCTGTGTGATTGTCATCCCATCCTACCACCTCTCATATTAGTCCTTTACAAAGATGTTTTTAGCATCTAAATGTATGTAGTCTGAACCCTGCCCGCTGTATTTCAGTCACAGTGCAGTGCTGCTCTGATGACGCCTCGCTGACAGATGGACTGTTTTAAGCCCTCTAATACGGACCCTTGTTAAATGTGTTGATTTTGTGAAAGTAGCCACGAGATTGTGCTTGAACTGGTCTGTGTGACGTATACAAGGTATTCAAAGAAGTAGCCTATAATCAAACATATACTGTATATGTGTGTGTTTGTGTGTGTTATATTCTTCACTGTGCCTCACCCTTATTATCCTGCAGTAACTAGACACTTGAGTAAGGAGGTTGTTTGTCTCAGCTGACCTTCACTTCTAATAGGATTGGCCAGTACAGGCAGATTGTTAACCTGAGCCTAATTCCTCTCATAAGGTGCTCTGGTCCAGACTTACTTGCTATCAACCTAATGAATGAACCTTGGCACACTGCCAGGCGATAGAGTAAATTGGCTGTCATTAAAAGGGAGGCCTGCAAATACCGAGGGTGCAGGATGGATGGGTCATTATTGTTTATGGAATATTAAGCCTTCTATGGCCTTTCAAAGTCAATAAGCAGTAAGCAGAGACCCAGTGAAGCTGAGGGAAAAGGGTTAGAAATTTTCTAGGCCCATGGCCAAATTTGATAACAGTTATAAAAGTTGTAAGACCTTCATTTTGTGCCATTTGTGCTGATTATTAATCCTTGTCACAGACCTTAAAGGCCTCCTTCAAAATGCACTAACCTGTCCACAAAAAATGTCTTGTTTCAGCTTAAGTTCTTTTTGTTTCAGCTCCAGTTTAAATTATTAATTTGTGATTAAAAATATTTAAATATCTTATGAGATCCTCCCAGTGTGACTAGTTAGCATGTAGCTAGGCTAGTTTATCTAGTGTTACTTTTTTCTCTCATTATAATTTGTATGTGGTAAAACAAGCGAAATGACTGAGATGCTGGGTACTAAAGTGGATTTTGCAATTCTTGGAACCAGAAACAAACTTTAGCTTCAGTTTAGTCCATTTACCCAGTGTTAACTAAAAGGAGTCGTTGCTACAGTTTGGTTGCTGGTTTCCCAAAATGTATACATTCAGAGGAATAACACTATAATTTTTATGGTAACACAAGATTTCAAAAGTCACAAAATATGTGTCTACTGCACTTTGCCTTTGTAGAGCAATATAATGTTGTTTACTATATGTTTTATACAAATCCACAAGGTTGCCATTTAAAGAGTCCTTGGCTTCTGCTTTCTAGTTTGAAGTACAATTATCATATTTCTTTCAGGGCACAAAGACAAAAACACAAAACTGTTTGGTTGTTAAGACCACGCTGGGTCAAGCGTACAGGCAGCCAGAAAAACAAAACAGTCTCCATACCACAGTAGGGGGCCCTGCTTGTATATTACAGTTTCTTCTCTTTCAGCTTGTCTTTAATTTTCTGAGGCTCATCATATTGTATCAATCGCAGGATGTCGTTGTTGTCCATCACACCCTGAATGAACTCTCCCTCTAAGATTTTATCTGAGAAAAGAAAAAAATACAGAATGGTATAGAAAACTATGAAAGTGTTTTTTATGGTTTTAAATGAGCTGATAAATGTGTTTAATGAAAGAAACTTTACAAACTGTGAGCTACCGTTTTCCTTCTTCCCAAAGAACTTCCAGATTTTTTCAGCCCTCTTC